TGCCAGAGGTTTTCCTTGGTAATACTACTCAGAAGTAGAAGTAGAAGTCAATAATGCAGCTTGTGAAATAAGGTGATTGCAATAGTAGTAATAATAATCCTAATTAGTAGTCATTTTAGTAGTAGCACCAGCAGCAGTAGTAGAAATAGCTGAGGAAAATAACATATCATTTATTTTAGGTTTGCGTGGAAGTGGAGAGCTCTGTCGCCTTTCGAATCGCCCAGGCAGAGATGAAGGGCCCGCTCCCTGAGCCGGCCTCAGTTAGGCTGGGCGACAAGTAGGGCAGCCTTCACACTCGGCCAGCAGCCATGACAAAGGCTTTCAAAACGATCCCCGTCAGGCTCCAGCGGTGCTCGATTACGCGTGACTAACGAGCACTCCCCCTGACCTCCGGAGTGTCTTGAAATCTGGCCGAGGAGCAGCCGGGGAGGAGCGCCGCAGGTGTGGCCAGGGTGCTCCCAGGCCATTGGCTGCTTTGGCTCAGCTGAAGGCCTGGGAATCCCACTACCAGAGACCTCACGAGTCAGTGCTGACTCATCGCTCTGAGCTCCGTGACGGGCTGGAGACGAGTCGCTGTACAGACACTGCCGGGCTAACTCTGACAGCCCAGAACTTTCCAGAGCTAATCCTCCCTCCAGCCTGCCTCACTCCCTCACTTTCCTGCTGAACGGTTTTTACACCCAGGGCTGAGGACAGCTGCCTGTTCCTTCCCTCCAAAGGGGGGAGTTTAGGAGATAAATTAGAGGGATTATTTTAGATTTCCTCCATTCTGTGTTAATATTTCATGTAGCCATTGCCTTTTCTTTGTAGGGGGGGGGCGTAGACACCATTCATGACAGGACAATGTGGAGGATTCTGGCAGATACGCTGTTGCCGTTGAGCCAAAAGCACATGGAACTTGAAAATGAAAAACAAAGGGAAATAGAGCTAAATTTTTAACTGCTCAAAAGACATTGTTCCCAGTACAGCACCTTCAGGTCTGTGTGGCAAAAAAAAGCTGACGTGCACAATAATCAATTTGTTGAAGCTGCTTACTAAGGGGGTACAAACTGAAGCAGGGAACAAAATGAAAGCTGAGACATGATGGGCATGTTAATCACTTGCAAGACATCAAATTAGAAAGGTCTAATGGGACTACTATATTGAGATTTTTATATATAAAAGTTAGGGACACCGTACTTAATAATAGGTGCCAGATATGATTATAAAAGTAGACAAGTCATTTTGAAAGTATGGAGTCACTAAGACTTTCCCTGACTAAAATTGACTCTGGGGTTCTGTAAAAAGTAAAAAGAGGTAGTCAAAACTCAAGGAAAAAAGATCATTATTTTCAGTGTCATAAAACGTTAGAACCCACAACTTGTCACCTATTAAAGGCCAGAGATTTTCCCACTGTGCTCTGCTGCTCCAAGTAAAATGGTTCATCTAAAATCTATTAGTCATGTAAATACTATCAATAATAAAACCTTAATTGAGCCTGAAGTTGAAAAATGTTTTTTCTAATTTGGGGCTTGTTACCTGGTTACAATGTTTATTGAAGCCTATGGTACAATTGTTCAGTTGTTCTTATTGTGATTACACTTATATCCTTTACTTGTAAACCCTTTAAAAAAAGTGCTGACTGGCTCTAATATATTAGGTCATGCCTGGCTGGAAATGGAAGTTCTTATTGTTAATAAAGACTTTTCTTACATAATTAGTATAAGAATCCAAGAAATACTGGATCCAGCCCTTTCTTAACACATATTTCTGTTGTATAAGAAGGTTTTTTTTTCATAGAATTTCACAACGGAACAGAACACCACCACTAAGTATCACAAATGCATAAAAAAATGTGAGCTCAGACATTAATGACTGCAGGGAAAGAGGAAGAAAAGCACAAGCACGCTGCTGTGTCGTCTCTGTCTTTCCACTGGCAAAGTGTATTCTAGCTGTATGTCTTTTCAATCTAACCAAGAGTTTAAAACAAAAGTTCAGGAGAAGGTCAAACCCTAATCTTGCCCACCGCCACCTGCCTTCATATGAATGTGCCTCTTCGTGCACACTATTCGCTTGTGTTTCATTTTCGCATTCCTCCCTCCACCCCCATCTTCTTAGGGTATATTCAAACTACTGAACCCCAAAGTTAGTGGTAAAAACACATCATGGTTTAAGATTGACAGGAGTAACGTAGGAGTAATGAGTCACTGAGAAGGAGTGTTAGAGACGCACACCCAGGTAGTCACCCGACTTTCTGGGTACAGGGCCTCCATCCCTCTGTTCCACTTCAATCCACTTGCGTTTGCGAGTGTTGTAGTGGTCGACAGCGCCTGATGTATTTTGGATGTTGATTATTAGATTATTTGAAGGGGGGTGTGGCAACTGATGATGCCACCTCACAGCTCACGGGTCTTGAGTTTGATTCTGGCCTTTGAATCCTTCAGTGCAGCGTCTGCGTGTTCCCCCATGGGTGTGTGAGGTTTTCTCCAGGCGTTCTCCACTTCGTCTATAGTCCAAAGGATGCTGGGTAGTTCATGTAACATCTAAATTGTCTCCCATTGGTATGTGCATTTGTGTAATCTCGTCCAGTGCATGTCCTGCTTTGTGCCAATCATCTTCAAACTCAGTATTAATAATAATTCCTTTTATAGGGCTTTTCTGGACACTACACTCAAAGCGCTTTACAGGTCATGGGGATCCCCTCCACCACCACCAGAGTGCAGCCCCACCTGGATGATGCGCCAGTCCGCTCCCCCACACACACCAGGTCTCAGTGGGGAGGACAGCAGAGTGATGAAGCCAGTTCAGAGATGGGGATTATTAGGAGGCCATGAATGGTAAAGGCCAGGGGGAAATTTTGGCCAGGAAGCTGAGGTTCTTTTCGAGAAACGCCCTGGGATTTTTAACGACCACAGAGAATCAGGACCTCGGTTTACATCTCATCCGAAGGACGGCACCTTTTTACCCATCGGCCCTATATTGGACCAAGTGGTGATAGGAAATGAATAAACATTTTTTGAAATTCTGCATTCGGCACAATTTTCCACACTGTGATACAGTATATGGTAATAAAACCACATCGACCCAAACTCAGACAAAATTAATTCTCTCTTCCCCGCACTCAGTGTGGTGTTGTTGCAAACCACAGTATACCTGTGAATACTGTACTTTGTTTCTCCCAGTGGACTGTAAACAATTTCCTCCTCTAATTGAACATCTTCAAAACCGGAGTTTTAAAATTCCTCACTTGAAAAGTTACAAAGACCATCACAGGTTAAGAACACATAATTTCATTAGATTGCTTCTTGTCCCCACAGATATTTTCTCCCGTGGCACGCAAAACCCTGGAAATGACTGTATCAAAACACAGGTCATGGATCATTCGCATGCATGTTTCTCAAGAAGATTAAAATCACAAACATTATAAAAGATGAGTTATGAACTAACCATTGTTACAGAGTAATAAAGCCTCTTTAGTGTGGAAGCACTATTCCACTGACAGCAAAGAATTGTACAAGGTTAATTGGACACAGTCTAATGACTTCTTGCTGTTTTATTCATTAGCTTGCAGATGAAGGTGGGAATAATTCTGTTTTAGAAATACTTAATTCATAACATACAGTTCTTCCTGGGCTTTTCTGGAAGTGATCCAAAGGGTACGTCTCTGTACGCAATTTGTTAGTCATCTAAGAAACTGAATGAGAAAAATGTCAGAAGCTCAGAGTGACTTCTTCATTTTTTTATTTCATGTGCTGCAGCTCTTGAGGAAAACCAGGCTGGTGCGGCAATGGTAACGGTGGACCAGCAGGCGGCGCTCCTCTCCCTGCGCCAGAGGTATCAAGCAGGGGCTCTGTTGTGTGGAGTGCTGTCCTTCAGGTGAGACATTAAACCAAGTTTCTGACAAAGAACATAAAAACATTAGAAAAATTACAAATGGGAGGAGACCACCTGACCCATCTGTCGTGCTTGGTGGTTAATTAGTAGTTAAGTGTTCCCTGGGATCTCACCCAGACATATTACACCTCTTTTTGAGCTTTTCACCTTGTGTTTTTGAAATATAACCATCCTTCTTGTCTGATTCCAAGTCCTGGAAGCTCAGTGGTATTGTGTGGATGGATTGAAAAAAGTGTAATTAATAACTTACACTTATACAGCACTTATCTAGACACTCCACTCAAAATGCTTCACAGGTAATGGGGATCCCCTCCAGCACCACCAGTGTGCAGCCCCACCTTCAGGGGCACTGATACAGTCCACCCAGGAGATTTCTTCAGAATGAACAGTGAAACACAAACCAGAGGGCGAGAGTACGGAGAGTATGTTGAAGAGCCACAAACCAAAAACGAGAGGCACTTTTTTTCACAAAGCGCTGTGGGAGTCCTGGAACAAGCTACCCAGCCATGTTGTTGAAGCTAAGACCCTGGCCTCTTCAAAGAAACATCTTGAGATCCATGGATATATTACCAAACTACCAAAGGTGTCCTGTCCCATGTAATCTTCTGTATGATCTCATTCTTGCGCTGGTTTTCAGCATCCTGGCTGGTTGTGTCAGGAGGGAGGCCATACCTTACCTTAACCCAGAGGTTATGAGGGAAAGTATT